GTGACTTAGCAAGATTCTGTCTCCAAATTTAAAAAATAAAATAAAAAGGGCTAGAGATGCAGTTCAGTGATAAAGGAACCCTGGATTCAATCTGTAGTACGAAAAAAAAATCCTTCCGGTACTACTCCCCAGACCCAAATGCCACCTCTCCCTGGAGCCTGGTGGTCCAGCAAAAGCAGCCTCTGAACCCCAGGCTGCACCCCTACCCCAATTCCAGCCTGGGCCTCCCTCGGCTTCAGCACCACAGGGGGCTGTGGCTCACTGCGCTGTTCCCATCTCATTAAATCCACTATAAACTTTTTATTTCTATTGCTTTGTCCACAGCACCTGCCCAGGCTGAGCTGGCCCTTGGTCCCCGGTGTTTGCCGAATGAGTAAGTTTATGACTCAGGTTGGGAAGCAGCACTTCCTTTTCGGGGCTCGGAATTCACATTACATGGGTTTCAAAGGTTGCCCCTTGTCTCTTGTGACAAATCCATTCTCACCTCCAGCACGTCCTTCCTGATTTTGTAGATGGGGAACATTTTTACATCCACCTCCACCCGTCTAGTCCCTTCAGACCCCTGCCCCAGCCCCTCCAGGACCGACACTCTCCCCTGCTCCATGTCACCCAAGGAGCTCCCCTCCCCCCACACCTTACTACAAACACTTTGAACTTCGCGCCCACAAAACAGGCTGTGGGTTGTGACCCTCATGTTTATCCCTGGGACTTTCTGGAATTCTCTGATGGAGAATGGAGAATTCCAGGCTGTGTCCCCCTCCCCAGAGGCCCTAGGACAGCTTCACCAGAAACCCCATGCTCATCCCAAACCCAACAGGCTCAACTTTAGACACTTATTATCCACCATCAAGAGGCTCCTGCCCTCCCAGTCAACAGAACCATCCATCTGGGTGCCCCCACAGCCCTCTACCAGCGAGGCCTCCATTCCCTGGAGACTGGGTGGAGGCTCTCCTCTTCCTTCCAGGTGGCTCCTCTCTATGCCTCTCCACAGGCCTCTGATGCCTGTCTGCCCCATGGCAGGGACGTCCCCAGCCTGGCTCAGCCCACACGGGTTCCTCTGGTGTCTAAAGCCTCAGCCTGGCTCTTCTGTTCCCACCACCCACAGATGACCCAACACCACAGCGCTCACCCCCACTGAACACTCGCTCTGCCTGGCACACGCCCCCTCCTCACCTCCCCGGGCCTCCCTAGGCCTTGGTCCCCCCACAGCCACCGAAATGATTTCCCCAGTGTCTCACTGAGGTTTTCTTCCCCCCAACTGTCTCCTTATCCAAAACCTCATCAGTTCTCACAGAGAGTAATCAGAAGGGGGGACAAAGTAGAAAGGAAAGAAAACTACCGCCCCCCCCACTCCCACAGCGGTCCCTGGCCTGACATCTGAGCTGCTCCCTGAGGACCCAGAACACATGCCTAGGGGGAGGGAGCAGGGTGCAGAGGACCCACTGGCACAAACCCAGTGTGTGTGGCCCCCAGTAAGTCACTCACCCTCTCTGGGCCTGTCTCCTCCTTGTCCTGACTTCCCTCCACATCCATGTGAGAATCATCCCAGGAGCTGCCCCCTGGGAAGTGGTTCTGAAGAGAGCAGTGCTCTCTGCGAGGGGGGCCCCTGGGTATGGATAGGCCCCTGAATCCCCCTCAGCAGCCCCCGTGCCTGGCCTCATCCTCCAGACGGCCCTTGGCACTTGCTGTAGACAGATGTTCTCCTGGCTCTTTGCACACCCATGGATTCACTCATGTTATCATTTCAACCCAGTTTTAAGCACTGGGGGGACATGGGCTTTGGTGGGTTGGGGTTTCCCATGCATAGCTGGGTAAGAGCCTGGTTGGGCCCCTCATCATCCACCCACACATCACCTCCTCCCGCCCCTCAGATAACCTGGCCAGAGGGATGTCCTGTACCACGCTGGGCCAGGCCTGGGGAGGGACAGGAGGACCCTTCCTAAGAGAGACTCCCGCTTGCAGCTTCCTCCTCTTGGTATGTTAACTGGAAGTGAATGGACCTGGTATTAATGTTCTCTCATAATGTCCTTAAATCTCCAAGGACCACCAGGTCCTTGCTCCTCTCTCCTCGGCTTATGGGGAGGGGGAGGTCTGTCAGGGCTTGTTAGCCTGAGGAGGCCCCTAAGGCCTTGGGACTTCCTGATGGCCGCCCCGCAGGGCTCTATATACCCCACCCCACATTCCGCAGCCCACTCCCTGGCCTTCACTCAGGCCCCCCTCTTCCACCTGGGACCTCACTTCTCCTCCTCTCAGCTTCCCAATTCCATGAGAGCTCTGCCCTCCCTTGAGGGAATCAGAAACAAAGCAAAACCAGCTTATAACCAGTCACTTCCCAGACATGGCTGTGGCCGGGCTCAACAAGGACCCTCCAAAGCCAGCCTCTAACCATTTCTAACAGCCCACCCACCATCTCTAATGGTCATTTCCACCTTTCCCAGGTGTACCTGCAGCTCCTCTCAAGTCAAGTGGGGAAGCTGCCAGATGCCTCCCAACACCTTCCCTCCCTGCCAGGGCCAGGAGCTTCTGAGGTGCCTCTGGGAGGCTTGGAAACACCCAGGTTTCCAGGCAGGGCAGCCCCGAGGCTGAGGGCAGAGAGCACCGTGGATGTGAAGAAAGAGCCCCATCCTCTGGGGAAGGCCGGAGAGCAGCAGGGACGGCTCCCAGCCACACCCCAACTGGGGCTGCCTTAGCCATCAGCTCCAGGACCACAGGACGCACCCCCTCCTCTGCACCTACAGCCTCTGCAGGGCCTCTTTAGCACCCCAGAGGCAGGATGAGGACACAAGGTGGAAGGACAGAGGGAAGCCAACCACCTGTGGCTCTGCCGGAAGCCGGGGAGCACCAGGCTGGGTCTCACTCACCTGCTGTTACTGCTGTTGTTGAAAATGAAGTGCTGATAGGCGTCAAGAGCTGGAGAGCCAGCAGCAGGACCCAGGTCACCAGCATCTCCCGGGCTGTGCGCCCCTGGCTCCAGGATCTTCCCTCTCAGGAGAGGGGCCAAGAAATGAGAGCCTCCCAAGGAGGGAGCAGCTATAAAAAGGACCCTGGAGACCTTTGCCTTGGGGAAGGACAGCGCCTGACCCAGGGTGGGGGCAAGGTGATGACACGGGGTGGGTGACACACAGTGACTACAGGGAGTTGGCTAAAGGGCAGCCTCTCAACCTTCCTCCCCTCTAACTCCTGACGCACTGACTCCCCTGAGTCAGGGTCACTCCAGCCAGAAGAAGACAGTGTCACAGGGTGGGACAAGTCAAGAGGGAGGGACAGGAGGAAGGCAGGGGTGTGAGCCTGAGACAATGACAGAGGGGCGGGACCAAGAAATGCCAGGGAGGGGTGACTGAGGAGGGAGGGGTGTCCCAGGAGGGACACCCCGCAGGACGGGTGAAGGAGAATCTTGCCCAAGGAGCACCCCCTTGCTCTCGGCCTTCTCTCCCCACCACCCACCTCCAGCTGCCCCTTCAGAATTCCCAGTGCTTTCCCATCAGGTGGGGCGCCCATTCACACCTGAGGCTTTATGGCCTGACTCCACCCCTGGCCAGAATCAGAGGTGACGAAAGGCCATGGGCCAGCTTCTGCCTAGGGCAAAGGTCCATGGGGGCCTCTCCCAAACCCCCACCCAAAGGATCACGGGGATAGATTATTTCTGACCATCTCAGCTCCAGCCAAGCAGGACCAAGAGCCCATAATGGTGGCAACAGGAGGGTCTGAGCCGGCACAGACAGGCCCTGGTGGGAGGACATGTTTGCAAGAAGGGATCTGGGATGCTCAAGGTCTTTGGGGGCCCAACTTTATATTTCTGCAGAAAAGGCAGCAAGCCCAAACTGGACACCTCCCTGCCCCAGTCCTCGGGTCTAACTCCTTCCAAACCCCAGCCCTAAGCTTTGAGGTCACAGGTGACAAAATCCAAGAGACCCTCACCTGCTGCTAATGGAGAGACTCCCTGCCACCCAACCAATAGCTAACAAAATGGGTCCCCCCACCAAGCTTGAGGTAGTCATGGCCCTGAGGGCTGCCCACAGATCTTCCTTTCACCCTGGGAGACAGGGATGCTTCCCTGACCCTCCTACACCTCATTAGGAAGTCCCTGTTCTCCAACCAGGTAGACACTGCTGGGGACAAGATGAGGCTGCAGGGGAGAAAGACACCGAATACCGAACAGTTTCTTTGATAATAAATGCTATATTGTGTTCACTTGGGGAACTGGAGATTCCCCAACTCCCCATCCCCAAACTTGATCTTCCTGGCAAAGGAGGTCCGAGGGCTTCAGGCTCAGAGATCGCTGCAGGGATGGGGTAATCCGAAGGAGAGAGGGGAAGAAGAAGAAGCAGGAGCGATGGGAAGGAGGCCGTGAGGCTGAGGGGAGAGGGGAGGAGGCGGGTCAGGGAAACAAGGAGGAGGGGGCCTCACTTCCCCCCATCCTTGGGAGCTCTGGAAACTCAGGCTCCACCCCTGCCCACAGGGATCCAGGTGCCCTGGGGTGAGAGGAAGGGGTGGAGCCTCAGAATGGTGAGGCTAGGAGAGTGCCAGTTGGGGGACCCTCAGAAGCCAGGAGTATCTGTCTCTGTCTAGGAACAGGCAAGTAGGGAGGAGGTAGGATTTCGGGGGAGCGCTGGGATGGGGGAGGCAAGGATTCAGGGCTGAGAGTACCAGGGTGGGAGAGGGGAATTCAAAACTGGGGAAGATATAGGGCTGGGGGAGGGGACTGGTTTAAGGAACTGGCTCAGTAAGGGAAAGACGAGAGGCGCAGAAGCGGTTATCTAGGAGAGTAAGAGACGGGTGGGCTGCCTATGGGTTCAGGGTGAGGGACCAGAATCATCTGGGATAGTAATTGGGTGCAAACAGAAAAATAGGGACCAAGGCTGGAGACCAGGGGAAGAACTTGGGGAAGGGGGACCTGAGGGAAGTGACCTAAACATGAGGGTTGACACAGTTGGATAGATTGGAACAAAACTGACCAAACACGTGGTTTTCACAGTAACAGTAGGAGGTATCAGGACAAGTGTGTTATATCCACTTTATAGGTGAGAAAACTGAGGTGAGAGAAAACACTGAGTCGCTCAAGGTCCCACAGCAGAAGAGCCTGGATGTGAACAGGGTCTCCAGGTGGATTTCAGCCCAGTTGGGAGGATGGGGATAAAGGGAACAGTCTCAATTTGCCCCAAGGACACCAGGCGCCTGAGGCCACCTCTGGAAATGGACGCAGTGTAGATGGTTCCCTCCTGCAGTCCTGGGCAGGGTGGAGGGGGTGGTGAAGAGGCCCCATGGGGCTCAGAGCCAGGATGAGGCCATCTCAGGTCTCTGAATGTGTACCTGCCACAGAGTATAGGGTGAGAGGGATTGAGAAGAGGGGACCACCTGCGTGGGCTGGCCAGATGGCCAGTGGCTGGGGGAAATCCGGCACTGGAGCTGGGAGAGGTCCTTAGCGTCCTCCCTCTGCCCCCTCACCTTCGTGCTGGTGTCCACATTATCCAAGGCCACGTGGAAGCTTTCATCGTTGACTAGGGAGAGAAAAGAGAGGAGGAGAGGGGAGAGAAAAGGAGTGAGACTGGACGTGGAGGAAACTCCATGTCCAAAGGCAGGGCCCCAAGTGGCTGGCTGCTCTGCCTGGGGATGGCCTGCGCAGGAACAGGATCTTTCTCAGGAGGGGTGACACAAACTCCCTGGCACGACATACAAAACTGTCCCATTCTGCCCAGGCCACAGTGATGCCCAGGGAAATCCTACCATCTTCTCAAGAAAGACTCACCTATTCTGTCGTCCTCGAAGCCAATGTTGGAAAAAGTCCCCACGGTGTCTTCATCCCAGATCTCAAACCATTGTCTGTCCTCGTCCCAGGACCTAGGTGAGGGCGCCAAGCGGTCAGGCAAGCCGGGGTCCCTGGGCCCCTCTGGCCACCCCCACCGCGGCCCTAGAGCACTCACTGTCCTCGGCGCTGGCGGTCCTTTCCCCGGGAGCGCACCAACCAGACGCTCAGCAGCCCCAGCAGCAGCAGCAGCACCCCGGCGCCCCCCGCCAGGCCCCAGACCAGCGCCCTCCAGTGGATGGCCATCTCGCAGCGCGACCCCGAGAACCAATGAGTGTCAGTGGAGAAACATCTGGGGAAAGGTCACAGGTCTCAAGACAGGTCACAAGCGGGGCCTCAGGGGCGGGGCTCCACCCTAAGGCGAGTGGGCAGGGCCTGGGGCGGGGCGCGGGCCTGGAGGGCGTGTCCCTGAACGAGGGGCGGGGCTTCCAGCGAGGGCAGGGCCTCACCTGCACACGGGACCGCTCCTCTCCAGAAGACATTGGCCCTGTCCACAGTCGATGGCACCGTCCACGCCGGGCGTACAGTTGGTGACGCAACGGAGCCGATTCGGCTCCACCAGGGGGAAGTAGAATTCCTCATAGCCCTTGGCAGCCGCTCTGCTACAGATGGCTGTGGGAGGGGGCGGGGTGTAGAGACCAGGGTCTCATTCATTCCTCTCAGGGCCTGGTTGTGGGGACCGAAACGCATGGGAAGGACTCTTCGGAGCGCGGGTGTTGGGATTAGAAGCGGGAAAGGCAGCCTCCCGCTCCCCACCTTCTCACCTTGCCTTGCGGGAGCTCAGGTGTAAGCTACTGACTGGAGCCCAGAAGGGCAGGACGGGTCCTCATCTCTTGCCTCCCCAAAAGTTCTCCCCCTGCTCCCCCAGGGGAACTTCAATGGACAAGTGTCCCTTGTGGGAAGGATCATGGCCGCCTGAAGCCGCTCAGCCCTTTGCCCCCTCCTCACCTTTCGGGGTCAGCTCTGTCCTGATGTCCTCATTCACTTTGATGGAGTTAGGCTTAAAGCACAGGGCTGGGGAAACAGGTTCAGATGAAATGGGGCAGGCAGGGATGGGGAGGGCTGAGAGGGCTCTCTCCATACTCCCCAGATGTGGAGGGGCAACTAGGGAAGGCTGCTGCTGCCTCCCTCCTCCCCCCTGAATAATCAGACACCCAACCATCCTAGAAGCACTGAGCATACCTACCAGGGGGTCTCTTCCTAGCACCCCAGTCCTGAGCCCTCCTGAGCCCACCCTTGTCCCAGTTGGGTGTAGACTTGTGCCCCTGCCAGAGGAACCACGGAATGGCCCCTGAACCCTAAGAGCCCCCTGGACTGAGCTGGAGCAAGCTGGGATGACCGCTGTGACCCCTCCCTCCAGCCTCCACTCACTCTGGTTATGCTGGCAGCTGTCCCCATCCTGAATGACACTTTGGAGCTTTTCCTTCAGGACAGTCTTCACCTTCTCATACTGGCTCTCCAACTGCAGGCTGAAGGACAGCTCCAGTAGGACCAGATAATCCACCACGATGCTGCCACTCCTGAGGGGGCCAGGAACCTTAGAGGGTGCCCAGGCTTGGGGAACACAGGTCCTGGGAGGGGCTCCTCCAGAACCAACCACAGTGCATGCAAAAGGGTTAGAGGTCCTGAGGTGAAAAGCCATCCATGCTTTTCTTTTACCCACACATGCTTTTCAAAAGGGGCTGCCAGCATCCCTGATAATGGGCGTTTTCTTTGCATGACATCAAGCCGTCACCAAACCACCAAAGCTGTTTCTCCGGGGCTCTCTGTCTTCCCCATCCGTCTCTCTCATGCTGACTGACTCAAGCAGAGCCAGTGCCAGGCAGAGGACAAGACAACAGTCCTGACACTTCCCTGCCTGTCCCTGTGTACTTCCTCCACCCCTCTCTTTATGAAAGCAAATGCTTCAAGAAGCAAGGGATAGATGCCCCAGCCCTTCTTCATGCCCCTGTCCCCTCCTAAGGCTGCTTCCACATCCCCAGCAGGGTCTCCTACCTCAAGGAGAGGATTTTCACAGCCCTGAACCCCTGCACGCCTTTGTAAATCTTCATCATCTGAAATGTCAAGAATCCCTGGGCTCACGTCTGAACCTGTGGACCTGAGGGCGCCCACTGCAGAGGAGGACCCTTTACTTCCCCTCCCTTTGCCCCTCACCTGATCCTGGAAGGTCTTATTGAAATCTCTGTAGGCCTTGGAAGTGTTATCATTGAGGTCCGGAGAAAATTCCTGGTCAACAGACACCTCCATGCCCACTTCGGCTTCCACTGTGCCTGCATACAGCACACTCCGCTCTGGTCACTACCCCATCTGTCATCACCACCCACCATCCACACCCCCACCCCCAGGCTCCCAGCTCTGCCTGCTTCCTCGTCTCTGAGGACTGACTGAATGGCAGTAGGGAGAAAAGAAGAAATTCTGAGACAAGTTGTCTGGAGGTAAGGGAAAGTGGTCCAGAAGCACGGCAGCCAGACTGCAGTCCCTCCTGGGGTAGGCAGAGTAATGACCCCCAAAGTTGTCCTGCCCTGGTCCCCAGAAAAGGCCATAGTATAAAATTAAATTACAGATGGACACAGTGGTGCACACCAATAGCTTGGGAGGCTGAGGCAGGAGGATCTCGAGTTAAAAGCCAGCCTCAGCAACTTAGCAAGGTCCTAAGCAACTCAGTGAGACTCTGTCTCTAAATAAAATATTAAAAAGGGCTGAGGATGTGGCTCAGTGCTTAAGTGCCCCTGGGTTCAATCCCTGATACTTAAAAAAAAAAATTACAGATCATTTTTGTGTATGATATTGGGGAGTGAACTTGGGACACTGAGCCACACCCCCAGCCCTTTTTATTTTTTATTTTGAGACAGGGACTTGCTAAATTGCCCAGCCTGGTCTTGAACTTGCAAGCCTCCTGTTTCAGACCCTCAAGTACCTGGGATTGCAGACGTGAGCCACTGCACCCCATTAGATTACAGATAATCCGTGTTAAAAATGAAGATAAAATTCCACTGTTTATCAGTTCACCTCCATATGGGAAAATTAACCTGGCCCAATCAGGTGGGTCCCATATGATCACAAGGGTCATTAACAGTGAAAGAAGGAGTCAGAGGAGGTCAGAATCAATCAGAGGACGACAACTATGGAAGAAAGACACAGAGGACCCAGGTGGTTTTGCCGGGGGGACCTTGACACGAGGAATGTAGGAAGCTCTAGACACCAAAAGTAGCAAGGAATTGGATTCTTCCCCAGATCCGCTGGAGAAAAACACAGCCCTGGTGACACCAGTTAGAACCACATCTGACATCTAATTCACAGAAGTGTGAAATGATCACGTGTGTTGTTTCAGCTGATAGTTTTAGGGTCATTTGTTATATAGGAAAGAAGACAGCACCAAGCAGCCCCAACCAGGAGGGGTTGGTAAGGGAGTAGGACATGGCATGAGACAGCACAGGGCATGGGAGAGAAGCCAAGGATGGGAGGACTGGAAAGATGGTACATGGCTAGCTCAGGTCCCCCAGAGGCACCCGCAGGAGGAAGCGGAGAGCATGCAGCTTTAGCAACTCACCTAGCTCCAACTGTTCCGCCGGAAACTCACAGAGAGGGCCATAAAAGGTGGTGGGGCAGAGGCACTTAAGGCCGTCCCATTTACCCCCATTCTGGCACCCGATGTCCTTGTGCTGACAGCGATCCCCAGAGAAGCCGGGGCGACAAGAGCACTGGCCCTGTTCCCAGGTGCCACCATTGTCACAGTTACCTGGAAAGCCCAGAGAAAAGTTGAAGTTCCAAAAGGACCTGCTCTTGGGGACATAGGAATTTGGCAGGAGGAGGAAGGAAAGAGAGGAGGAAGAGAGAAGGTCCAACCTGGGGTTGTTCTTGACACTGTAGTCATCTGAGTAGTGGTCAGTGTTGTTCCTGGGGACGTCAGGGTGGTGGGAGTCTTCATGGTGGCCACTGGTGTCTCTGGGCTTCTAGTGGTGGGTGGAGTGGGATGTGTCAACTTGCTGGAAGTCGTGACCGTTGGAGGGCTACTGTTTGGCTTTGTGGTCGGTGGGAGATTAGTGGAGCCAGGCATATGTGGGGTGGTGACAGAGTCGGAGCTAGGTGGGGTCTCACTGGAGGGCATTTGGGTGCTCATTAAATCTGTGCTCATGGGTACAGTTGTAGGGCCGGAAGAACTAGGAGCATCAGTTGTAATGTTGGTGGGCTCAGATTCTGGAGTCATGGAAGTAGAAGCATCCGGTTGTGTTGGAAACATGGTTCTTATACTGGTAGAACTGGGAAGGGTAACCATTTCAGTAGAAGAGGGAAGGACCGAGAATGGCGTGGTGGGAGAAGAGGTAACATCAGTGCTGGGATCAATTTCTACACATGGAAGAGTGGGAGAGGTGGGGACTATTGTAATGGTGATAGTTTCTGGGCAGGGTGTGGAGGAAGGAAGAGAAATAAAAGAAAAGGGGGTTATTTCTGTGAGAGTTGTGGTCAGCGAGGAAATGGTTGGAGAAGTTCTGGTAGTTGCAAAAGAGGACAGAGAAGAGGTGGTGGTGGAAGAGCCGACTTGTTCTGTATTGGAGATAGGTGGGGAGGTGGGGCCAGTGTTGGTGGTAGTGGGGAGCATGGAACTGCTGGTGGGAGAAGAGAGAGGAGAGGACAGTCTTACTGTGGGTGTACAAGAGATCAAGGTCCCAAAGGACGTCATTATTGCATTGGTGGAAGTGCTCTCCCTAGTGAAGTCTTCTGTGCTGGACTCACGGGAGGTAGTGAGTGAGGTTACCACTGGAGGGGTGGAGACAGAGGTTTTAAGAGTGGACAAGTCATTATGTGTCATAGAGACATGTGACGTTGACATGAGAGTACTCGGGTGTGGTGATAGAGTGAAGGTAGGAAGAGAAGAGAGGGAAGAATCTGTACTTACAGGAGAAAAAGTACTATGTACAGGAGAAAAGGAGGACCCTCCATCAGAGGTAAATATAGCAGAGGAGGACGTTGGCAGTGAGGTGTCAGATGTCACCTGAATACCTGTACCAAGAGAACTTCCCCAGGTGCTCTCAGAACTTGCCAGGGTAGTTTGCATACTGGGGGTGATGTGGATTGTACTAACGAGTGGTGTGGAGTCCATGTCCTGGACAGTGGGAGACCAGGCGATGGTCCTAGTGTGGGTTGTGGACACACCGGAATCAGTGCGGGGGGAGGAGTTGCCTGTCACTGTGCTCAGTGGACTGGTGTCGCCCACAGTTGAGGGACTGATAGAAGGGGGCGTGTTGGATGCAGGAGTGTTGGAGGGCATGCCTGGATGAAAAGAAGACCAGGGGGTAGAAGTGGATGTCCCTGTGCTCTCTGAGGTCCTAGGAGGTGAGGAGATGGCAGCTGTGGATATGCTATGAGAGGGGTAACCACTTGAAGTGGTGAAGCTGTGTGTGCCATCAGAGGTGGTCATGGTGGCCACAGGCACCTCCGTTGAGGGAGCAGTCTTGGAGGTGTCTAAGGTGGACACAGAGGCCCAGGTGGGAGTGAGGGAAGCAGCACTGGTCTGTGTGTGTGTCATGGTGGAAGGAGAGGTGACAACAGATGTGGAATGTGTGACACCACTAGAGGGAGAACTGGCTGAGGACATCTCTGATGTCAATGTAGACATGGCTTCTGTCATAGATACTGTGGTGAGCAAGGTCAATAATGTGGTGTTAAGGGT